CAATACTGACAATGTCAGCACTGCAGCCAATACGATGGCAAGAATTTAATCCATCTAGCAATTCAACAAGAAAACAAGTATCATGTGCCGCGCAACTTTGCAGTTATAAAAAATTTATCTCTAACCTTCACGAATGAATCTAGATTCACCGTAAGAATATGGGCACTAGAAAATTCGATTGGTATCAGAGAGCGATTCATAATCATTATAAGATTTTCTCTTACTTTATGATGTGCTGTTATCCAATCCATTCCGAAAATTTCATCGGAAAATTGAATGCTCTACAATAGAAGTTGTCAGACAAATATAGTTTACATATGTAATATTTCTTATTGCCACTATAAGTAATATTTAATGTATTATATATATAAATATAAATTGAAATTAAAAATTATGTTTCTTATTCTATTATTGATGTGATGCTGAGATTTTGTTATCAATATTTAGATTAAACGCATTCGGTATGTGTACACAAAATCAGTACCTTTAATTTCACTTCGTTCCCGTACCAACAATAAATAAGAATTTGCGAACACATACAGATTGTGTATAACATCAGTGGAATATATTTTGGACTCAATGTGGTTTTCGCCAATCGATAAAGATTGGAACATACCACTAGCATACTTGCGATGAATTGAACGGCAATTATAATTCTGAACTTTTCATTCATCGTGTATGCAAATCTAGAAAAAAGAATAATATTATTATCCTTGAAATGATTATTATTGCTCATAACTAATTAAATATTACGATATTTTAAATTTAGTTAAACTATTGTTATCTAATTCATAAATAAAATTTAATATTCAAACGCGTATGATTGCAAGTAAAATATAAAAAAACTCTGTGTATGTGTATTCCTGCGCGCGCGCGCGCGCTATGTTGTGAACTCTGTATCTTAAGATTAATTAAGAGAAACATTTAAGCATATAAAATTCTATACAAAGACTAACTTATATATATGATCGTGCTGACGTACACATTCACCCAAGTCGCTTCGATTACGCAAGGATTTTCTCACACGGCACTCTAAGATCTCGATTTGGCAGTAAATATGTAGCAGCAATCCACAAATCATTATATCGCAAGCAACATTCACGATCGATGCAGCCGTTAAGCTCAATAATTGACGAAAGTATGTGAGGTAATACACTGTATCGGACCACTCGAAAGGTATCCATTCTCTGTACGCTAAATTTCCTTGCCGGAAATCCGTAAGCAAAGACGTTAAATTCATGCATACGCACGTTAGCTCAACAAAAACCGTATAGATTATAGAATTGGTCCTGCAAAATGACTAAGGAGGCTGGATTAATTCACGATGACTTTGTTTTATATTTTTCTCCTTTAATTAAAATGAAAAAAAAAAAAAAACATATTTCCTACTTCATAAAATAACAAAAAGATTTTGTTTATTTATTGTTTATTTTATTAATAAAAATCGTATCTTGCATTTGCCGTTTTTGTCAATTAAATTTAAAAAATGCAAAATAATTATATAAATATATAACGTTAAGATATTAATATTATATATTAGAACTAATATAAAGGAAACCATGAGACAATAAAATTAAAATATGCGGATCTTATTCCTTAAATGGAAGCAACTCCTTACCGTATTATGTTATTATATTTTTGTCGAATCTCAATTTCATCTGGTTCCAAAGGTCTAAACGGTTTTTCAACCAATGCGTCAGTTAATATCTCGATATTCTTGCGATTTAGCAATAGACTGAGCATCTTGCAGCAAGCGATGACCATGGCCAGCATTATATAAAAAGTATCGGTGAAATCGTCCGCATTATTAACATTCAGGATAATATCCATGAGTTGTGGTAACATGAAAGTGAGTAGTAGTAAACACATGAAAATTGTATATACATTATACACTGTCCGTTTCCATAATGAAGACCAGGAAACTGGTGGCCGGCATCCTGCTACCGTGAGGATTTTCAGTGGAAATTGCATAACTTGCATTTCTTGAGATATCTTTTATTCGCTCTCTAGTTTAAAATAAAACACTTGTTATATGTGTACTATAGTATATATGTACTATTGCATATGTCTTATACAAGAGACATAGTTATGTGATGTAATTATGAAAGATACAGAAAATATTATATGCTTAAGCTAAAATTTTTTAGATAAATAAACTTAGATGCTTTTATTTCAAAGAACAGTTTAAAATATTTATTCGAAAATTACAATAACATTATATGTAATTTAGATTTTATTTTTATGTTTTAATCTTATCTATATATTTTTTTTTGTCTTTAATAAACGCAAAATATATTTATTGTTATGTAGAAGGCAAAATAATCCAGATATATTTAATACTGTTTATTGTGGATGATTTATACACTTATATCTAGGCGAGGTATCAGCCTTACTTTTGTATGAGCACTAGACTTCGTATCGTTCACTGGAAAACTCGGCTTCGTTCGCTTTCTTCTCGCTGGCTCGATTAATTCTGAGGGACATTGAAGGGTTGCCTAATTATAAAGCGATTTTCGTAGTCAGTTGCGATCAATCGTTGTCATAATTATTGAATTAGACTCGTGGATTGGTCGTATTATTTTTCACGTGAAATAAGGGTTGCCAAACATAATTACCCGTTTCTACAATCTTATGCTTATTTTAATGAAGTACTGTATATATATGAGTGTGCGTAATATAGTGTAATGTAGTAGACCTACTTTTACAATAATTTGGGACACGCAAAATTTTATATTGTAAATATAAGATTGGTAATTGAATAAACTTCAGTCACTTGTATAATTAGCTAATTTATTCAATCGATATTGAGTAAACAAAATAAATATTGCGCAGAATTGCATTTTATTCATTACTTTAGAAAATAATATTCGATAATATAAATGACTTACACAAATAAAAAATATCAAGCAATTTCATGTAAACTTTATACATTTATTTTAAAGCAATTTTGCGGAACTTCGACAAATCTTACAATGTCTATAGACACGCAACGCTACTTTCTGCATTCATTGTTCGCCTCTTTGTAGCCCATGGCGGAGAGCTACACATGTCATCATAATAATTATATGTATACGTAACTTGTAATATATTCCGACTGGTAATAATACTTTTGTAAAATAATATACATAGCTGTGTGTCTTTTTTGCGACCTTTATATAAACTGTTAGATAATACATTAAAATGGTCTAAAGGAAAAAAAACTTGTCGACAACGAAACCCTTAGACCATAAATTAAGGTGTGTCACCATGAAATTTTAATGTAAGTAATCTATACTTACGTACAAAAAATATGGAATTTGTTATTGTCGTCAGTTCCGCCTCACATCTGGCTGTCATCGTTAATTCTGTTACTCATATTGATCGATAATTCTGGCAGGATACAAGCGGTTAAAAGAACTTATTAAATATACATATATAGGTAAAGCGAATATACATGCTGTAATACCTTCAGTTAATTCTGAGCTAGTCAAAATATCATATTGCGTAGCATTGCATTTTATCTATTTACTTTAGGGAATAATATATTATGTATATAAAGTGAGGAAAACGTGTCGAAAAAATCTTATATTAAAAATTGTCCACATTGAAGATTAAATAAAGTAAAAATGTTTAAATAAATAAATAACAGAAGTAAAAATAAAGCAGTATAAATTATAAAAGATTGTAAATAAAAATCTAATGAAAAAGAAGAAGCGTATAATAATCAATGATTCTTATTTAATTATTCGTTAACATTATATAATAGATAACAGGAAACTTAAATGATTAATAACATTAATCATACAGATAACTTCATTAGAAAATATGGTTCCCTAACTTCTATACTATGTTCCAGTTGAATTATGTTGTTTACATTTGTTGTAGTATACTATAAGCCGAGTATGACGTTTTAAGTAACTGTAATAAAAAGATAAATTTTTTTTTAAATTTATTTTGTAGTTGCTAATTTTGTAAAATATTAAATTATATTGCCAAATAATAAAATATGTGTAATACATAATTACTACAATCTCCAAAAAGATTTATGACGAAATTAGCTTTTATATAAAAAGACAGTATGTAATTTTTGTAACGCAATAGTATAACATGTTTAAAAAGATAGATCAAATTTTGTTATGAATGTCATCAATTTTTAGTGTACGAATTATAAAAATTGATATCTATTATATTTTTAATAAAATGTATATTATTATTAATTCATTATTAATTGTTTAGTGACAATAGACTTGTTATACTCACGCTCACGAAAGAATTAAGGTTCATCGTAAGAATGTACGCGCTAGAAAATTCAATAGGTATTAATGAACGATTCATAATTATTAATAAACTCTGTTTTCTGTTTTGCTTCATTGTTAACCATCCCATTCCAAAGATATTAACGGTGAGTTGAACACTCTATATTAAACAATATGTACATAAATTAAAAACCGTTATACAAGATTCTTAAAAAGAAATTGCAACTAATGTTTTCTTATATCAATTACAGAGTTTTTTGTTGTTACAGTGATTTTTTATAAGCTGAAAATTTTATTCTTAAAATCGATGGATAAAGTATTTATAATAAAACTAACAATTTTATATCTATAAGGAAGTTTTTAATATCGCGTAAGTATTAAATAAATTATACAATACTGCACGTTCAAGCTTTCTAAAATATGCACCTTTAGTTTTACTTCGTTTCCATACCAACAATAGATGAGAATTTGTGTGAGCATGGAGCATGTGTATAATATCAATGGAAAGCATTGCGCAGTCAATGTCATCTTTGCTAATTGGTACAAATTGGAACATACCACCAATGTGCTCACAATAAATTGAATAGCGATAATTATCTTGAATTTTTCATTCACCATTAATGCAAATCTGCAAAATACAAACATTTAAAATATATATATTTATTTAAAATATAAATTTATTTGAATATAAATTTTTACATTCAAAATATTTTTAAAAGATATTCCTATAGAGTAAAAAATTTTAAATATAATGAATCGAATACTATAAAAAATACGGAAAATTCGAAAAAACATTTTAGACAACAGTTGTATGGCTTGAAAAGGTATAAGTAATGATAAAATTAATGTTTGAAAAAAAAATTTTTTCGTAGTAATAGATTATCTCCATCTTTTTAAATGGAATTATATGATTTTTTTATATATATGTATAATTCCTCTAATTATTCTGCGTATAAAAATATAAACATTATGCAGATCGAGCTAATGCTCGATAAGAATTAAAATTACGCCAATGCAATGTGGCGTTATCGGCCATTTAATTTTCAATTTTCCAAATATTTTTTTACTATTTTACAATCTGCAAGATTGTCAAAGAAACTAACTTAAATATACAGTCGTGCTGACGTACACATTCGCGTAGATTATTTTGGCCGAGAAAGCTCTTTTTCAACCGGCACTCCAATATTTCGAGCTGACAGCATACGTGTAATAATAAACCACAAATCAGACTGTCGCACGCAACGTTCACCATAGAGCCAATAGTCGAGCTTATTAATTGACGAGCATATATGATACAGAATATCACCTCGGATGTGTAGTTATGCGGTGTCCACTCTCTGTACGTTAAATTACCTTTCCGAAAATCGGTGAATAATGATGTCAACATTACGCATGCACATGTCGTCTCGACCAAAATTGTGTACCATAATGTATTCGTTCTACAAAATAAGCAGATTGTTTTTTCATATTTTTCATGAAACATTTGACATTAAATATTTTTCTTTGCACTATTATTCTATGTAAATTAATTATTTTTACCAAATTTTTGAAATATTTTTATACATTATTAAAGAGAGAACTTTTTATATACTTACTGTATTGTTTTGTCGAATTTTTGGCGGATTTCTATTTCGTCAGCCTCTAATGGGATAAATGGTTTTTGAATAAGAATATTGGTTAATATCCTTATATTTTTGCGATTTATCAGAAGACCGACCATTTTACAACAGGCCATAATTATGGCGAGCATAATATAGAAAGTATCCGTAAAATCATCTGCATTGTCGACGTTTAAAACGACATCCATAAGTTGTGGCAGCATAAAGGTGAAAAGCAATAATATTATAAAAGTAGTATATGCGTTATACATAGTACGTTTACACAATGAGGTCCATGAATTTGGTGGCCAACATCCAACAACCATAAGAATTTTTAATGTAAATTTAAGAACCTGCATTTTCCGCGATCTTAATATCACTCTCAATGTTAATAACGTTATATTAAATTATTCTTGTTGTGCTGTAATTTATGTAAATTGTATGATTAAGTATTATATTAATATCGATAACGTTTCCTCCTCTTAATTAATAATATTATTAGGTGCTAATAAACTATTCTCACAAAATATTATATGTTGACCGATTATCATACACGCTCTTTCGACGTAGATATTTATTTAATATACGTATATAAGTAAAATAATACAATAATATAAATCAGATTCACGTGTCGTATGTGAATGTACTTAATTTTGTAGAATACGAGGAATTAAAAGTACAAATCAATAATAAAGATACAAAGTTTTTTTACATATGTAAAATAAAAAGGTCTTTTTCTTTCAATAGTACCGTGAACCAGCTTTGCGAAATTATATGCGACGAACCTCGGAATGTCTATAGCCGCATGATATGACTTTCTGGCAGCAATACTGCTCTTCCCCTCCGCGCTTGGCAACTATGTAATTATCGTAATACTGAACTCGCAATATCATTCCCCATTTTCCTGCTACGGTTTGCATGTACGTACATTTTTATCAAATACAAACTTTATATGACAACTATGTGATGTAATGATACAGCGAGGAGAGAGAAAATGTAAAAGAAAGCAGTAAGTCGTAGAAACTATTAATAAACCATGAATTGTGTTTTACCTTTATGAAATCGTAATATAAATAACCCACCAATTTACTTACTTATAGTAAATATTTATCAATGTTGCTGATGCTCTGCATTTGTCATTTGTCTCAAATTCTAATTTCTAATTCTATTTCAATTCGAACACTCATAATCTCTAACAAAATATAAATGAGAAAAACTTTTTATAAATGTACATGCATCTATATTTATTTTGGACCTATTGTGTTATACATGAACAGGATTAATAGGTATTTCTTATTATACATATATTGAAACGTCTATTTTTTTTAATTAAAAAATATTCTCAATCTTCTACTCAATACGTCGTATAAAGTTATTAAAAGTAATTATAATAGAATATAAAAGCAATTGTTATTTATTTGTCCACAGATGAAATACTAGTTATGATGCAAACTTCTACAGATATTTATTAATAATAAGATGACGTATTGGAAAACATTACAATAATCTCAATCTTTTCATGTCTTTTACTTACGATTCCTACACTTGTTTTAATATATTATAAGCTGAATATGATGTTTTAAGTAACTGCAACAAATGTGTATAAATCTTATAATTCATTTTACGATTCTTATCAGTCGAACATATATAAACAATATATTATCTTCGTAATTACTTCGTATTAACTTAGTGCTGTATCAAAATTATTTATATACATATATATATAAATTAACTTCTATATAAATTATTCATTTTCTTATTTTCCAAAGTTAAATAAAATATATTTTAACTAAAAATAAAATCTATTATTTAATTGCGCCAATAACAAATCATAAAAGATAAAAGTGAAAATTAATTTTTTACTAACCCCAACAAAAGAATCGAGATTCATAGACAGTACGTAAGCGCTGGTAAATTCTATTGGTACTGCTGCACGACTCATAATTATTAATAAGTTTCTTTTCAGGTTTCTGTTCATCGTCATCCAATCCATCGCGAAAACGTTGTCAAGCAGTTGAATGCTCTATATTTCAAACATAGAAAGTATTATTAATTTTTTAACATTAACAAATTTGATTATTTTGAACCGTAGAAAGTATTAATCCATTAGAATTAACAAATTTGATTCTTTTAAAATTACAAATTTGATTACAAAGTTTGTGTATTATTACATAAATTTATTTATTGACTTTAATATTAAATTATGTATACTTTGGATTTTTAAAACCAAAAAATACGTAACAGCTTAATTACACGCACCTTTAACTTTACTTCGTTTCCGTACCAACAATAGATGAAAATTTGTGTCAACATACAGGACATGTATAATATTAAGGGAAGATAGCTCGCATTTAAACTCGTTGATTTAGTCATTTGGTACAAATTGGAACATACCACCAATGTACTCACTACAAATTGCATAGCAATAGTCATTCTGAATTTATTGTTTAATCTGAGTGCATATCTGTAAAATATATATTACATAAATGACACTTTCCAAAATTTTTCAAGAGAAATAAAGTAGAAGATAAACGTTATAACAATATGCAAAAAAATGTTATCAAAATGCTTCGAATCAGAACAAAATATACAAATATATAACGAAAAAATGTTTTTTATTAATGTGAGATCTTTACTTTTTTAATAATATGTGTACATTTGCAGAACGATAAGATAAAACAACTAACTGCAATATACTGTCGTGGTGACGTACACAGTCGCTAAGAGTACCGTCATCATTCGATACTTTGCTCAATCGGCATTCTAAGATCTCGATTTGGCAGCAAATGTGCACCAACAATCCGCAAATGAGACTGTCACAGGCCACATTAACGAGCGATCCAGCCGTCAGACTAATAAGTTGATGAGCATATGTAAGACAAAATATAATGCTAGACGAATAATAGTCATACGGTAGCCATGCTCTATATGTTAAATTTCCTTTTCTGAACATCGTGAATAAAGATGTCACGGTTATACATGCGCAAGTTGTTTCCACCAAAATCGTATAGTAGAGTGTGTTGATACTGCAAACTGTGGAGATAGTTACGCTTATTTATGTAACACAACTTCTAATATTTAATTATTATCAAAATATAAAAATATTTGTAACAATCAGATATTATTATTTAGTACTACACGTTTATATATAATTTTCATATAAAAAAACAAAATAAATATTTAAGTTCTTCTAAATTAATTATTAACTTATTTTTGAAAGTAATTTTTATTATTATTATGTGGTAAAACTTACTATATAAGTCTATCGAATTTATATCGAATTCTCATTTCATCCATCTCCAATGGTCTGTATGGCTTTTTGATGAGTACGTTGATTAACATATTAATATTCTTTCGATTCACTAATAAACTGAGCATTTTAGAGCACGAAACAACCGATGCCATCGTGGCGTACAAATTTTCGGTAAAATCTTCGGCATTGTCAACATTCCAGATAATGTCCAAAAATTGCGATATCAAAAAAGTATATAATAATATAATCATAAAAACCGTGTATGCATCGTATATTATACGCAAGTAAAATGACGAGCATGATTGTGGTCGCCAACATCCAACAATCGTCAGAATCTTGAAGGTTAATTGCAAGACATGCATCTTTTATTTCACGTTATGTCGTTTTCTTATATCTAAACTTCACTTAAATTTTTGCACAGTAATTGCAAATATCATACAGAAAAAATTATTTGCGAGATGTTAAAAAATATTTTGCACAAAATTTTATTTACTTCAATATTTCTAAAACGATAGCATCTTTAAAATATATTAAGAAACAACGATAAGACATTTTCTGAACGACTGACAATCGTGAAACGTTTGTGCCCCGTTTTTCTCTTCAAAGATTCCATAGTCCCTACTATTATGTTATTATCATAATATCGGACTTGAATCATTGATCCCATGAATACATATTTATTGTTCCGTTAAGTACGATAATAACGATCTCTGAAAATACAACGTTTATATTCTAATGCTCTTTTTATAACGTTTTTATATTTCGTTACAAATATCTTGTAAGAAACGGAAAAATATGAATGTCCCGACTATTTTATCATAAATTTTAATGTAAATAACTCAGTTATATCTGCATTTGTCAAGTTTAAAAATATTTTATTTGTCATGACCACTAAGCGTGTTGCTAAGTTGCCGTACATGATTCTATTTCCGTATTGATTTCAGGCACAATGATTTCTGAGGAAATTTCTAACTTTTGTTAGAGGCAGATGTTCAAATTAGTTACATTTGTGAAATGTGTCATAAAAGATAGAATAGGCAAAAAAGTACAAAATATAAAATAGATATAAAATAGACATTAATAAATATAAAATAATAAGGAAAATATGCAACAAGATAAATAACACATTTAAATAATTTTTCTTTATTATTTTTATGTCAGATAATTTGAACGTAATATAAATACTAATTATAAATACTAAGTATAAATATATACTTTTTCCTTTTTTCTTGCTCTTTTAAGATTTAATTTCATGAGTATATTTTTGCCATTAATCTTTTACAGAATTACACCCGTATTTTTTCGAGTAAGTTGTAAGTGGAATACGATGTCTTGAGTATCTAGAATTAGTGTATAAACACTCCTAATCTTGATTTAAATATATTCTGTAATTAATAAATTTGCAACTAATTTCGCTAATAATATTAGATGCATTAGACTGTAATATTATTATATTACACAAGATGCTGAATCTGTTTTTATTATTCCAAACAATCATTCCAAATTTTTATTTCTTGTGCATAATTCAAATTATTACTTTAATAAAATTAAATAGTTAAAATTTGCTTAAATTCAATTTTTTAGTTTATTTTAGTAGTATAATGAAGTAATATATATGAGCAGCATTTTTCTAAAATGCATTTTGTCCAAAATTTCATTTTTGAAGTTAAAAATGACATAGTGTTCAGTGTTAAGAGATTCATATTTTAAGCTACTTCATACGATGTTCCGAAAGCATTTTTACACCATCAATTTATGTGCTGAAAAAAATTTCGACATTTGAAGTACATTATGTTCTTTAACTAGAGACAAACAAAATGTATTTGTTTAACATTTTTAGCAACTGTTTAGCAATTTTGAACACTTTACATTTTACTGAATGGCAAATTGTTATTTTCTGTAAAGCACATAGTTTTCTTGTAACTTTCTTTCTTGTCTTCAAAAATTATAAATTTTGAACAAAACGCATTTTAAAATTCTGCTCCT